GGGATGACAAGGTCAAATGGTCAAAAACTCCTCCAAGACCATTTCAGGCTGGACATAAGGAAGAACTTCCTTCCTGGCTGAGCCCCCAAGACCTGGAACAGACTGCCGCCAGAGGTGGTGCAAGCACCTGCTCTAGACTTCTTTAAGAGTCAACTGGACATTTACCTTGCTGGGATCCTGTGACCCTAGCTGACTTCCTGCCCTTGGGGAAGGGGCTGGATCTGATGATCTTCCGAGGTCCCTTCCAGCTCTAATGTCTATGAAATCTATGAAATCTCCCATGCTGCCTTGGCAATGTGTGGGAATACTGAGTGTGGCACTCCCAGGCCAGATACATGCCTGTGTTACTAGTCACAGGGAGGAGACAGTGAAGTGGTTCCTCTTTCCCCTTCAATCCCTGGGGAACACCTGGCTGTGCTGAAGGCTCCTCCTGCTCCTAAAGGCCAGCAGCTCCCCAAGGCCCTGCTGTGATGGGCACCAGCACAGAGACTGTAAGGGGGTTCCTCAAGCAAAGGGTGCCTGTCCCAGGACAGTGGGGGCCTCAAAGTGTAAAGGGGCTTTCATAATGTGTTGGTCTGGACCAGCGACTCACCAATAGGTGCTGAGCTCATCAGCCATGGTAGCTGTGTAAACACCTACACATGAGTTACAACAATGACCCCAGATTATCTGGTGTGTTGTGGCCTTTCTGAGTGCTATGCAACAGAAGAATGGCTCTAGTATTTTGCTGCAGTCAAAGCACGAGTGAAAGGTAAGAGCAGGCTAGGGTGCCTTGAGTCTAATGATAGTGTCTTGAGTCTAAAAAGGATTAAAACCCCTGATCTAGAGTGACAGACATAGTTAGGCATGTTCATCTGAAGTCAGGCACAAGGCAGGGTAGAGATGCATCAAGGGGGCTCAACCTCTGGCCCATGAGGTAGACCTGTCCTACAAAACCATGGCATACATCCTATGGGGACCCGCAAGGGTCCAGAAATTTGGTGGTGGGCCAGTGGTGGCAGCTGTTGCACTAACAGCTCCCCCACCTCTGAATTGTTGGACCTGACAGGAGCCCCATGTAGTAGAATAAGGAACTGGGGAGACTGGGGCACCAACTTTGGGCAGGAGGGGAATAAGGGAGTGTTAAGAAAAGAATAGGAGCTGCAAAGCTGCCAGGAACACCGCAAGTGATGCGGCTCCAACCTGCACTGCAGTACCCAGGGTGCTCAGGTATCATGTTGCATGTGCTGCATCCAGGGCCACTTGTCGAGCCCTACACTCACCCCAGAATTGGTGCTTGACCCTGGGCCCAAACACCAGAAAACTTGAGTGCCCTCAACTCACTGAGTCCAAGATGTATCAGGTTTTATGTGCAAGCGCTCATCTCATCAGAAGCTATGGAAGGATGTGCAGAGGGCAGGCTGTCCAACACAGATTCTTTAATACAAGACACAGAACAGAGGAAGAACTGGGGAGGGGGAGTGAGGATAAGGCTGAAAGAGGTCAATAAACCAACAAAGTTATAAACCCAGGGAAACTGCAGAAACCTGTAAGTGAACGATGCTTTTGTAGATGGTCCCTTCCAGTGGACAATGCTGTGAATGGGGGAAATGGGAGATGAGCCCTGGGGTGCAGAGCACCAGCAGGGTCCAGGGTGGAGCAGCTCCTTTGACCAGGAGACCCTAGCCCTGCCCTGCACCCACCCTAACCCAGGGGCACCAGAGGGGCTGGCAGTCATGCAAGGCTGGGAGGGGACAGTCACTGCGGCATGTGTCATTGCAGTGACAGGAATACCCTCAGGGCTCGGCTGGGACCGGGCACAAGATCAGGGGAGCTGCGTTGGTGCCTTCCTCATTGACACCAGTATAGAAATATGGGCGCAGGGTCCCGGAGAAGTCATCAGTAAAAGTGAAGAGGTGGAATCTGTCAGTCACGTTGTAAAATGAGACCTTGCCTGCCTCGTAGTCCAGGAAAACCCCCACCCGCGTGGGCTGCACGCAAATGGGGACAGGAGTCAAGGGAGAGGTGAGGGCCCCGTATTCCCCATCCTGCAACCACATGGTCCAGTATCCATCCTCAGGTGCCAGTATGACCTCCCCCTTCCTGCGCACAGACTCCCTGCACACGCCCAGAGCCCAGGCCGTCTTGTCTCCCACCTCCACCTCCCAGTAGTGCCTCCCGCCCGTGAACCCCTCACAGCCCAGGAGACAGGCACAAGTATCAAATCTCTCAGGGTTGTCGGGTAGATCCTGTTGTATGTCACCGTCCTTCACACGTTTCCGATCCTCAGACAAGATGAGGTAGGGATTTGCCGTGTCTGGGTCCAAGGTCATGTCCACTGGGGAGAGAGACACAGGTCAGGGCCGAGGCAGGTGAGTCCCCGGGATCACAGGGAATTTGCTGCATCCCAGGAATCGCGGGTCAGTCCCTGCCTGTGAAATCGCCGCCGCCCCAGGGGGAAATGGGGACAACAGGAAATGGACCCAGGGGCAGAGTGGCATGTTCCCACCCGACTTCTTCATCCCTGGGGCAGAGCGGGAGCTGGGGCAAGAATGTCAGGTGTTGAATCCACAAAGGGAAAGGAGAGGGGAGGTACCAGGGGGCGGTGGCAGGTCAGGGCCTGGGAAGGAGGCACATAGGAAAATGTCCTAACAGCAGGTTGCTGCCTGCCCTTTCCACCCCAGGCTGGGCTGCTCTGCCCCAGCTGCCACCATCAAGTCCACAGCCCTGTGGGCACAGGACTGCAGCCAGGGCAGCCCCAGAGCCAGCTTCTCCCTCACAGCCCAGCCGAGGGGAAAGCCAGGAGTTCAGGCTGCTCCCATTTGTTTTAGGGAAGCACTGACAGTGGAGCACAAGAGCCCATTTCTAATGAGGATGGGGGCATTGAGGGGGAAGAGGGCATTTCCCTACTGACTGTCCCCTCACTGTGGGCTCAGCTGCACCATCGGCAAGTCCCCATTCACACCCATGCAGTGTGTCTGCTCTAGGGGGTCTGCGCTGGGAGTCATGTGCTGGGCCAAGAACACCCTGTGCAGAAAGGACCTGGGACACCGCTGGGACAGGGGTCTTCTGCCCTCCAAGTATTGCACAGTCCCAACTGTAACAAAAGGTGCTGCTGCACGCAGTTTGGACAGTGCCAAGGAGATGGGCTGAGGATCCCAAAACATCTTGGGCTTGGGGTCTCACATGGCCCAGAAACCAGCCCTGACCAGGGCCCAGGGAACACAGAGTTTGCTGGCCTGTGGGCAGCAAGGGGGAAAGGCAGCAGGGATGCACTGATTCTTGCTGGACCCAGGGACAAAGGCCACCTCCAGGGCACCCTCAAGGTGGCACAAGTGGCTGTAGCAAACCAAGTTCTCCAAGGAGGGTCTGGGGTCACGGGGGGGGGGGGGG